GTAACAACCAGCCAGCTGTCGCATACCGACGCGCTGGTTTATTCGCGCGAGCCGATTGGCTGAAGTTGGAATTGTTGATCTCGGCACGCTCAGCTCCGCGAGCTCTCGCCAGCTGAGGTGCCCAGGAGAAAATGACATGACACACTGCTCGCAAAGGCAGCGCGCCACCGCTCGACGCTGCTTTGCCTGCAGTGTGTCACGGCCTTTACACCGGCGCCCGCAACTTCCCCACAAGGTCACCGCTGCCGCCCGTCGGCGCTCTGCCGCCCCGAGGCCGGGCCTCGTGGGAAATCCGGGCCTGCTCCCGTGCTCATCTCCTGGACTTTTGCAGAGTCTCTTCTATCCTCTGGATCTCCCTAACCCAACCTGTCCAGGTATCTCCTAATCTGTCCACTTTTTGGATTTATACTAAAAATGAATCTCTTCGGGGAATCCAATCCCTCCTCCAGACATAGATCTGCTCCTTCAATCAGCTCATCCCTCATAGTTATCACCTTCTGCATCACTTGTAGATTGTAAGCTCTCACGAGCAGGGTCCTTCTAACCCTTTTGTATGGTGTTGTATTCATTGTACCGTCACCTCTATAGAAATCCTGAATAATAACAATAATATTTTTAATGGCATTAACTCTTATATGAAATTTTATGGATTTGTTTTATGAGGGTGACAAGGTTTAGTGGGCAGGCATCCCTTAGCACGCATTTGTACTTGCTGCCTCTATGAGTGGGGTAAATCCTTACTCTTTTAGCCCCTTACATAGACCTCCTGTGGAGGTGGCCCAGCCAAGTTGTGATAGCAGCCTCCAACACCCCCCTCACAGCCTGCTGTCACTCCCTCCACCCTTGGTGACCCCTCACACCCTCCTCCCCTAAGCGGAGATGCAGCTCCAAACCACAACTCCCAGGATGCAGCGTGCCCTCCATTTCCGGTCAGTGGAGTCACACAGCAGGCATTGTGACGTGCAGAGGACTAGACGTTCTACGGTCAGCCCGGTGTTGTGTCTTATTCTGTTCCCCCATCAATGTGTGTTCCCTTAGCCACTCGGCTATTTCCGTAACTGCTCCTCCTCCCTTCAGCTGCATCTGAATCTACATAGACCCACCTCTGTACCGCCTCTCTTGAGGCTCCGGTTTCAAGTTAGTTTGAGATGACAGTGTGAACTCTTCCCAATGAGCTCGTCTGTCCCTCACATTCCTCCTCGGTCTTATGCTGGCTGCGATCTGCTCCATGTCCTCTTCTATTCTCCAGAGGATCAAACACAGGATTCAAAATACACATGTTTCTATTTATCTGTATCTGTGTGTGAATGAGAACTTTCCCAGGCACTTGTGTATAGAGTTTTCTTACTTTCTGCTAAATTCCAGACTGCTCATCATAGTTCGCTTATCATAGTTCGCTTATCATAGTCCGCTCATCATAGTCCGCTCATCATAGTCTGCTCATCATAGTCTGCTCATCATAGTCCGCACATCATAATCCGCCTTTCATAATCCCCACTGATCATCATAATCTGCACTGCTCATCATAATCCACTCATCATAGTCAGCTATCATAGTCCACTCATCATAGTCCGCACATCATTATCCGCTTATCATAATCCGCACAGCTCATCATAGTCCACACAGCTAATCACAGTCCGCACTGCTCATCATAATCCACTTATCATAATTCGCAAAGGTAATCATAGTCCACACAGCTCATCATAGACCACACATCATAATCCGCACCGCTCATCATAGTCCGCACTGCTCATCATAATCTGCTCATCTGAATCTGCACTGCTCATCATAATCTGCACTGATCATCATAGTCCGCACTGCTCATCATAATCTGCACTGATCAACATAATCTGCACTGCTCATCATAATTATGATGAGCAGTGCAGATTATGATGAGCAGATTATGATGAGCAGTGCGGACTGTGATGAATGGATTATAATGAGCAGTGCAGATTATGATGAGCAGTGCGGACTATGATGAATGGATTATGATGAGCAGTGCGGATTATAATGAGCAGTGCAGATTATGATGAGCAGTGCGGACTATGATGAATGGATTATGATGAGCAGTGCGGATTATAATGAGCAGTGCAGATTATGATGAGCAGTGCGGACTATGATGAATGGATTATGATGAGCAGTGCGGATTATGATGAGCGGACTATGATGTGCATGATTGTGATGATCAGTGGGGATTATGATGAGCAGTACAGATTATGATGTGCAGACTATGATGAAAGGATTATGAGCGGTGTGGATTATGATGAGCGGACTATGATGAGTGGACTATGATGAGCAGATTATGATGAGCGGACTATGATGAGCAGATTATGATGGGCGGACTATGATGAGGGGTGCGAATTATGATGAGCGGACTATGATGAGTGGATTATGATGAGCAGTGCAGACTATGATGAGCAGTGCGGATTATGATGAGCAGTGCAGATTATGATGAGCAGTGCGGATTATAATGAGCAGTGTGGATTATGATGAGGGGTGCGGATTATGATGAGTGGACTATGATGAGCAGTGCGGATTATGATGAGCAGTGCGGACTATGATGAATGGATTATGATGAGCAGTGCGGATTATAATGAGCAGTGTGGATTATGATGTGCGGTGCGGATTATGATGAGTGGACTATGATGAGCAGTGCGGATTATGATGAGCAGTGCGGACTATGATGAATGGATTATGATGAGCAGTGCGGATTATAATGAGCAGTGTGGATTATGATGTGCGGTGCGGATTATGATGAGTGGACTATGATGAGCAGTGCGGATTATGATGAGCAGTGCGGACTATGATGAATGGATTATGATGAGCAGTGCGGATTATAATGAGCAGTGTGGATTATGATGTGCGGTGCGGATTATGATGAGTGGACTATGATGAGCAGTGCGGATTATGATGAGCAGTGCGGACTATGATGAATGGATTATGATGAGCAGTGCGGATTATAATGAGCAGTGTGGATTATGATGTGCGGTGCGGATTATGATGAGTGGACTATGATGAGCAGTGCGGATTATGATGAGCAGTGCGGACTATGATGAATGGATTATGATGAGCAGTGCGGATTATAATGAGCAGTGTGGATTATGATGTGCGGTGCGGATTATGATGAGTGGACTATGATGAGCAGTGCGGATTATGATGAGCAGTGCGGACTATGATGAATGGATTATGATGAGCAGTGCGGATTATAATGAGCAGTGTGGATTATGATGTGCGGTGCGGATTATGATGAGTGGACTATGATGAGCAGTGCGGATTATGATGAGCAGTGCGGACTATGATGAATGGATTATGATGAGCAGTGCGGATTATAATGAGCAGTGTGGATTATGATGTGCGGTGCGGATTATGATGAGTGGACTATGATGAGCAGTGCGGATTATGATGAGCAGTGCGGACTATGATGAATGGATTATGATGAGCAGTGCGGATTATAATGAGCAGTGTGGATTATGATGTGCGGTGCGGATTATGATGAGTGGACTATGATGAGCAGTGCGGATTATGATGAGCAGTGCGGACTATGATGAATGGATTATGATGAGCAGTGCGGATTATAATGAGCAGTGTGGATTATGATGTGCGGTGCGGATTATGATGAGTGGACTATGATGAGCAGATTATGATGAGCGGACTATGATGAGGGGTGCGAATTATGATGAGCGGATTATGAGCGGTGCGGACTATGAGCGGTGCGGATTAGGATGAGCGGACTATGATGAGCAGATTATGATGAGCGGACTATGATGAGCGGACTATGATGAGGGGTGCGAATTATGATGAGCGGAGTATGAGCGGTGCGGATTATGATGAGCGGACTATGATGAGCGGACTATGATGAGGGGTGCGGATTATGAGCGGTGCTGATTATGATGAGCGGACTATGATGAGCTGACTATGATGAGGGGTGTGGAATTTAGCAGAAAGTGAGAAAACTCTATACACAAATGCGCCTGTGTTAAGTTCTCATTCACACACATATACAGATAAATAGAAACATGTGTATTTTGAATCCTGTGTTTGATCCTCTGGAGAATAGAAGAGGACATGGAGAAGATCGCAGCCAGCATAAGACTGTGGAGGAATGTGTGTGAGGGACAGACAATCCCATTGGGCATAGTTCAGCGATCGCATCGCACACACTGTCATCTCTAACTAACTTGAAACCGGAGCCTCGAGAGAGAGAGAGAGGCAGGACAGAGGCGGGTCTATGTAGATTCAGATGCAGCTGAAGGGAGGAGGAGCATTTACGGAAATAGCCGAGCGGCTAAGGGAACACAGATCGAGGGGGGAACAGAATTCGACACAACACCGGGCTTCATGTGAGTAATGTGGAGCTCCCGGGGGAAGAGGGGGGAGCTGGGAGGCAGCTCTCCTCATCCTTGGTCCAACGGAATGAGCGGCTCCGGGGCGGTGTGCGCTTGGAATATAGCTCCCCGGGTGACATTCTGGAGGGGGTTGGAGGGTGCCCTTTCATATTGGTTCCTCCTGGTGTTGTTCCACCCATAATAAGGTTCCTACACGATTGCTACTTTAGGGTGGAGAAGAGCATTGGCAAGCTGATCCTCCAGGTAGTGGGGAAACCTTCAATGAGTTCCTCTATAGAATTGTCATCTGGAGCTGCAGTGTGCATGCTTGATATTGCCTCCCCCTCCTCCTAGTAAGAGTGCTCTGGGAATTGTGTCCCCCATACAATAGCTCTGGAAGTTTAGCCCATATTTATTGGTTCCTCTTGGAGGGTGGTCTGCCTTAAATGTTATTACTTTGTTTACAGGGTGAGGAAAATATCCTTAAAGCTTTGTTCCCGTGCTGTATGTGTACCCTAAATTAGGTTCCTCCGTGGCATTTCTTTTGTAGGGCCGGAATTTGTAAAATCCGCAATTCCAGTCAAAATTCCGATTTAATAGTGGAAAGAATTGGGAACAAGGGTGTGTGGGGATTACAAAAATAAAAATCTACTTGTCGAAGGACTAAAGCGGGGGCCCAATATACTTGTCCCTCATGACAATCTACGGATTACACAAAATAGTTTTAACCAAGATGGTATTTAACCGTGCTAAGAAGCGCTTCTTATTGGTCAGCATGGTCACCTGACCACGCTGATCAACAATGGCAAGCAAAATTTAAAATGACTAGCTTAAGGCTACGCTGGCGGCAGTATGAGGTACAGATAGTACACCTGTACCAGCAGAAGGGGAAGGACCGATCGCCAAAAGGTAGGTATATCAGGAGGGAGAGGGGGCCAGATTTGAGCAGGTAATTGTATTTTCCCAAATTATTTGGGCACTTACACTTTAATGCACATTGTGCGTGTTAGAGAGCGCTGCTGTCAGGGTACCACTATATGGCATGCAGTGGAATGGGGGGCAACACTCAGCGTACACACAATGCCCATTTGCAAGCAGATGGCGGGGGGCAATGGGGTTCGTTTTTATTATTATTTATTTTATTTTTTAATAAAATTTTCTATATTTTACACGTCGGGTAAAAAGACACCGAACATGCCAAGCCTTAAAATTGTGCACGCGTGCGAAACCTCGAAAAACGACATTACCCAAAATTGGCCATAGGCGATGCTTTAAAAGCTTTTACCGCTCATCAGTTTAGTGTTATCAGTGATTGATGGCCGTAAAATGATTGCTCTCACCCTGATGTTCGCGGAAATATGTAATGTGTGTAGCGCAATTGTCGTTTTCGCGCATCTGACGCATATTTACGTTTATATGTGCGTAAATGTGGGGGTGGGGGACTTAAACCTTTTTTTTTTTTTTTTTACTTTTTTATATGTGACTTTTTTTTTTTTACTTTTTTATTTATATTTTACACTTATTGTTATTGCTATCACATGGGGGGATAACAATCCCCCTATATAATAGCAAAGGCACAGTGACAGGTCCTCTTTATGGAGACATTAGGGGTCTCTAGGACCCCTAATGTCACCTGGGGACCCCAAAAGAAGCTGATGAAGCTGAGATCTGCTTCATCAGCTTCTTCTCTCTGGCTATAGCAGCCAGATGACTGACAGGGGAATGCAGAAGTGATGTAATACACATCACTTCTGCATTCAGACTTCGGAGGGAGATCAGCAAGGAGGAAGATGCTGATCTCCCTCCCATCTTCCTCCTGACACCCTCCCGATCCGGTCCCGGGCTGCAGATGGGATAGAAGGTGAGGGGTCAGGAGGGGGGGCACTCCAGGCGGCGGCTGCGGCACTCGATGGGTCGGGGGGAAGGCAAATCGTAACATACAACCAATTGACGGCTATAGAGCCGCTGACTGGTTGTATGTGAAACAGCCGGTAACGGCTGTAAAGAACGGGCAAGCTTTTTCCTGCGCACGCAGGGAAAAAATGACGGAAACCCGCGAATGTGAGCCTGCCGTCGGGCAGACGGCAAGCAGTTAAATTTTGTTTTTTTCACTCTTTAATTAGTTTTTTATTTATTTATTTTTTCTAAATCACTTTTTTCCATTATTTTGGAAATTATTATTTACATGCATGTAAACATTACACGTTTGTGGCATGCACACGGAGCACTTTTTACACAGGACCTTCTAGCAGAAGCTGGCAGTAAGATCCTGCGTAAATACAGCATATAGCACAAAGGTGCCCTATCAGTTTCTAGGTAGCTCGAGCCACCTGCATCCTAGCAAGGAAGAACGCTAGACGGCTCTGGGTACTAGTTGCTGTATTTTTATATGGTTGCCTGCATGAGCCCTAAATGCATGCACATGCATATGTGCGTACACATGTAAATTTGAGCTAGAGGAAGCTGTCCGGACCACCTGCTTTTCCTGACAAGTAGCCGCAGCTGCACCAGGTTTGATATGAAACATGGTCATGTTCCCCCACCCCTTCACTTACCTAAATTGCAGAGTGCTTTTCCCTGCAGCCTTCTGTCTATGTATACATTAGATGGGGCTGTGTGTGGCTTCACTTGCACAGCCACCTAATCCATTCACAGGATCGGTGAATGGAATGACAAGACCCATCTGCCACCACAATAGAGGGAGTCGTAGGTCTCAATGGAGCACAAGAGCCGTGCCGTCACCACACTCGCAGTCCAATGATTGCTTCCTCAAACCTTATAATAGAAGGTTTGTAACTCCATGTACACTATATTGGCAAAAGTATTGGGACGCCTTTACACGCACATGAACTCTAATGGCATCCCAGTCTTAGTCCGTAGGGTTCAGTATAGAGCTGCAGCTAACGATTATTTTCAAAATCGATTAGTTAGCCGATTATTACGTTCGATTAATCGGTTAATCGGATATAACATAAAATACATTTTTAAAAACGGCTCCATTGATGGGACTACTAGTTTGTATTGAGATTGCAGTCCATCACAGGAGCAAGCTTGGAGCGGTGGAAGTAAAAAAAGAAAAAAAAAAGTGTGGTGTGCAATATAGTGAAATGAAAAGTTTAAAATTATACAGCAATCAATGCAGAATGGCACCGGCTATAGAGGACTATAAAAACCCAGCAATAGTACATTATACAGCGCAATGCAGAATACCACTAGCTATAGAGGAGTACAACACCCATCAGTAGCACATTATACATCACAATGCAGAATTCCGCCAGCTATAGAGGAATACAACAAATCCCAGCAATAGTACATTATACAGCACAATGCAGAATTTCGCCAGCTATAGAGGAATACAACAAATCCCAGCAATAGTACATTATAGCTGGCGGTATTCTGCATTGTGATGTATAATGTGCTACTGATGGGTGTTGTACTCCTCTATAGCTAGTGGTATTCTGCATTGCGCTGTATAATGTATTATTCCTTGATTTGTAGTCCTCTATACAGCGCAATGCAGAATACCACCAGCTATAGAGGAGTACAACAAGGACTGCAGACAGTTGGCGACTTCTGCGTTTCAGCATGCGCTGACCCCGCTCTATCATTTTACGTGGCCTAGGACTTCGTGGCTGAGTTGCTGTTGTTCCCAGTTGGTTCCACTTTGTTATATTACCACTAACAGGTGACCACGGAATATTTAGTAGCAAGGAAATGTCACGGATGGATTTATTGCACAAGTGACAACCTATCACGGTACCACGGTTGTAGTCACTGAGCTCCTGAGAGCGACCCATTCTTTCACAAATGTTTGTAGAAGCGTCTGCATGCCGAGGTGCTTGATTTTATACACCTGTGGCCATGGAGGGGATTGGAACAACTAAATCCAATGTTTTGGAGGGGGAGGGGCCCAATACTTCTGGCAATATAGTGTAGCATAGCATTAATATAGGGAACCAGAAACACAGCCACAGTGTTACATGACTTTGTTTTTACTGTTTAAAATATTAATCCCAGCAGGGAGTATTCAGACCCGAGAACTTTCCACAGAGATCTCACCGATATAGTCCCAGCGAGATAGATAGACATAGAAACACTGGAATATAAGTTTAGTGTAGCCTGTCCCTTGGTATTACTATCTTGCAACCAAATATAAAATGCAGGCTTTTCACAGCCCTTCGATGGAGACTGCAGCCTCTTTTCACTTGATTCTGTGCAATCTGGGTCCTATGCTCCTTTGTGTGTACTTGGGTAAGGTTGCAAGAGCTGACCAACGAGTACAAAGTTGAGGGCTCCCCTGGAGACCCCAGATTCAGGGGAGGAAGGAACCTGAGGGCCACAATCCTCCCCTAGACTTCAGGGTAGGCCCGAAGACCCACACCCACACAAAAATAAAGTGAAAGGTGCACATGCAGTGAAAAAAATAATTTAGAGTGCCAATGTGAATACAATGGCTAGGCCTTGCGGCCCGGTAATAAAAATGATCCCCGGTCTTAGCCGTAAGGCTGATCCCAAGAGGTGATGTGCAACAAAAGAAAAGGTGTCGTGCCAAAGTGCCTTTCGCAACAGGGGGGTCCCAAACCCAAAGTGCTCCTCGAGCACCCCTGGGTCACCACTCAAGGGGGCGTAAATACCACAGGCTTCCCAGACAAGGTAGACCCATCCAAATCAGGAGGAATTGGGTCCTGCTAGAACCCAGCGCTGAGAAGTACTCCTTACTCCCACTCTACAGGTGAAACTCGAATAATTAGAATATCGTGCAAAAGTAATTGCAGTAATTGCTGCAAAAGGGGCCCAAACCAAGTACTGAGTACATATGCATGCTTGTACTTTTCAGAGGTCCGATATTGTTCTATGTACAATCCTTGTTTTATTGATTGCATGTAATATTCTCATTTTTTGAGGTTGTGGATTTGGGGTTCTTGGGGTTTTCATGAGCTGTAAGCCATAATCATCACAATTATGACAAATCACGGCTTGAATTATCTTGCTTTGCATGTAATGAGTCTATCTCATATATTAGTTTCACCTTTTAAGTTGCATTAGTGAAATAAATGAACTTTGCACGATATTCTAATTATTCGAGTTTCACCTATATACGTGAGTGGATGCTCATTCGGTTTCCTCCCCATGGCCAGGACCTTTTAGGAACCCCCATCACCAGGCAGGTTACTTCCAGCCATAAGGCCAGTACACCGGCTCCTTTACCCTCCTGCAACTAATAAAAACAGATACTACACTTGATCTTAGCCAACAGGCTGGGAAGTGATATAAAGCAGCCTGTAGTGTACTAGCTCGCCCCTTCCAACCTCACTATATGTCTACAGGGTTGGCCCCCTATGCGCTAGGGGGGTGCCGGTTTTGGGGAGCAGGGGCTTACAGTGACCATATATAAAACGTTTGTCCCTCTACAACTGTAGTATGGTATCATTTATCATATTTGTATATGTTATTTTACAGAAGATCATGACTAACGGCTCAGCACTAAGGATGGACAAGGATCAGAGTCATGTAACTGAAAGGATATTGAAGCTCACCCTGGAGATCATCTACCTGCTGACCGGAGAGGTGAGGAGGATTCTAGGAGGATCGCATGACATCACTCTTATCTCTATTAATAAAACTCAAACCTTACTGGAGAGGTGAGGAGGATTCTGTGGGGATCATATGACATCACTCTTATTTTTATTAATAAAACACAGCTGACCAGAGAGGTGAGGAGGATGCTAGGAGGGTCACATGACGTCACTCTTATTTTTATTAATAAAACACAGCTGACCAGAGAGGTGAGGAGGATGCTAGGAGGGTCACATGACATTACTCTTATCCTTATTAATAAAACATGGAGCTGACCAGAGAGGTGAGGAGGATGCTAGGAGGGTCACATGACATTACTCTTATCCTTATTAATAAAACATGGAGCTGACCAGAGAGGTGAGGAGGATGCTAGGAGGTCACATGACATCACTCTTATCCTTATTAATAAAAAATGGAGCTGACCAGAGAGGTGAGGAGGATGTTAGGAGGGTCACATGACATCATTCTTATACTTATTAATAAAACACGGAGCTGACCAGAGAGGTGAGGAGGATGCTAGGAGGGTCACATGACATCACTCTTATCCTTATTAATAAAACATGGAGCTGACCAGAGAGGTGAGGAGGATGCTAGGAGGGTCACATGACATCACTCTTATCCTTATTAATAAAACATGGAGCTGACCAGAGAGGTGAGGAGGATGCTAGGAGGGTCACATGACATCACTCTTATCCTTATTAATAAAACATGGAGCTGACCAGAGAGGTGAGGAGGATGCTAGGAGGGTCACATGACATCACTCTTATCCTTATTAATAAAACATGGAGCTGACCAGAGAGGTGAGGAGGATGCTAGGAGGGTCACATGACATCACTCTTATCCTTATTAATAAAACATGGAGCTGACCAGAGAGGTGAGGAGGATGCTAGGAGGGTCACATGACATCACTCTTATCCTTATTAATAAAACATGGAGCTGACCAGAGAGGTGAGGAGGATGCTAGGAGGGTCACATGACATTACTCTTATCCTTATTAATAAAACACGGAGCTGACTGGAGAGGTGAGGAGGATGCTAGGAGGGTCACATGACATTACTCTTATCCTTATTAATAAAACACAGAGCTGACCAGAGAGGTGAGGAGGATGCTAGGAGGGTCACATGACATTACTCTTATCCTTATTAATAAAACACGGAGCTGACCAGAGAGGTGAGGAGGATGTTAGGAGGGTCACATGACATCACTCTTATCCTTATTAATAAAACATGGAGCTGACCAGAGAGGGGAGGAGGATGCTAGGAGGGTCACATGACATCACTCTTATCCTTATTAATAAAACATGGAGCTGACCAGAGAGGGGAGGAGGATGCTAGGAGGGTCACATGACATCACTCTTATCCTTATTAATAAAACATGGAGCTGACCAGAGAGGGGAGGAGGATGCTAGGAGGGTCACATGACATCACTCTTATCCTTATTAATAAAACATGGAGCTGACCAGAGAGGGGAGGAGGATGCTAGGAGGGTCACATGACATCACTCTTATCCTTATTAATAAAACATGGAGCTGACCAGAGAGGGGAGGAGGATGCTAGGAGGGTCACATGACATCACTCTTATCCTTATTAATAAAACATGGAGCTGACCAGAGAGGGGAGGAGGATGCTAGGAGGGTCACATGACATCACTCTTATCCTTATTAATAAAACATGGAGCTGACCAGAGAGGGGAGGAGGATGCTAGGAGGGTCACATGACATCACTCTTATCCTTATTAATAAAACATGGAGCTGACCAGAGAGGGGAGGAGGATGCTAGGAGGGTCACATGACATCACTCTTATCCTTATTAATAAAACATGGAGCTGACCAGAGAGGGGAGGAGGATGCTAGGAGGGTCACATGACATCACTCTTATCCTTATTAATAAAACATGGAGCTGACCAGAGAGGGGAGGAGGATGCTAGGAGGGTCACATGACATCACTCTTATCCTTATTAATAAAACATGGAGCTGACCAGAGAGGGGAGGAGGATGCTAGGAGGGTCACATGACATCACTCTTATCCTTATTAATAAAACATGGAGCTGACCAGAGAGGGGAGGAGGATGCTAGGAGGGTCACATGACATCACTCTTATCCTTATTAATAAAACATGGAGCTGACCAGAGAGGGGAGGAGGATGCTAGGAGGGTCACATGACATCACTCTTATCCTTATTAATAAAACATGGAGCTGACCAGAGAGGGGAGGAGGATGCTAGGAGGGTCACATGACATCACTCTTATCCTTATTAATAAAACATGGAGCTGACCAGAGAGGGGAGGAGGATGCTAGGAGGGTCACATGACATCACTCTTATCCTTAATTATATAACGATTAAGTTGGATTTCCATTTTGCCAGTGGGGATCTCCTTTGTACAATCCCTCCTAATCATTAGGTCTTAGTCCCATTTTGCCACTGGGGAATTCTGAAATGCACTTTCTCCTCTCTGTCTGACCCTTAGGTAAACTCACATTCCCCACCTCTACTGCCTTCTTGTCCAATCCCTACGGACTCCCCTGCACACCATCCTTGACTCCAGCACTCAGCATGCCACTCCTGCACACCACTCTCGACTCCCGCTCCTCTTCACACCATTACTGATTCCAGCAACCTGCTCCACCATCCGGTTCCCCCGTACACACCACTTTGGACTCCAACACCTGGCTCCTCCCACCATGCCATTTCCAAACTAGCACCCAATTTCTCCAGCACGCCACTCCTGAATCCAGTACCTGGCTCCCCTGCACGTTGTTACTGACTCCAGCACCCGGCTTTCTCAGCACGCCACTCCTGACTGCTGCATCCAGCTCCCGTAGCACCCTATTCCTGACCCCGGCATCCAGCTCCCCCAGTATGCCACTGGTGACTCAAGCACCAAACTCCCACAGCACACCAATCCCAGCTCCAGCACACAGCTCCCCAGCATGCCTCTCCCGACTTTAGCACCTGACTTCCCTTGCCCACTACTCCTGACTCTAGCATCCGGCTTCCCCAGCATGTCACAATGTGACTCAAGCACCTAGCAGACCATTCCCGACTCTAGCACACGGCTCCTGCACACCACTCCTGAATTCCACAGCTAGCTCCTCCTCAGATGTCTTTCGGCTCCAGCACCTGACTCCCCTGAACATCGCTTTCAGCTTTAGCATCCGCTTTTCCTAGCACACCACTTCCGATTCCAGCACCTGGTTACTCCTAACATCATACTCCCGTCTCCACCACCCAGCTTCCCTAACAAACTACCTGCAGCTTCCCTGTATATCACTTGCGGCTCTTCTGGAGTGGCAGGTCATGAGTGTGTGGAAAGTCACAAGTGGGCACACTGACTGGAGCCCCAATCAGGAGGGGGTACATCTGGACCTGAACACAGCAGCAACGTTAACCAGGGAATCACGGGCAGTAGAGAGTGTCAGATGAGAAGAAGCTGGGGCACATGGGACGGTCAAAGGCTCTCTTTCTCTGGACAGACTGCCATTTTCCTCTCTCACCATATAACACCACACCTTCCATCGCACCATAATCTCCCTACCACTACCACTATTTGGCAGCCCAGCAGCTAGACCCCTTTCAGCTCAGTTTTTCACACAAATCTCTCCCAACATCACACCAGTTAACAAAGCTGTGGCAGGTCCCGTCCCTTCAAACACCCCTTCTGCTAGCTTGTGCACATCTCTCCTGCGGCTTACTGTCCTTATCTGCCACATCCTTACTCATTTTTCTGCCTGTCCCCGGCTCAACACTGTTGCCAGGACATCCTTGCTATAGTGCTGTGAGAAGACCAATGGCAGGAAAGCTCAAGGACATAGCAGCCTTCACCACCCTCATCTGTGCCTTCACTCACACCTCAATCACCCAGCCACTCCTCCATCAAAAGCAATCCCCTCCCTGTGCACTCACCTCGATCCTCTATCTTTCCCTCTACAAACATAAATCACCCGCATCACAAACCTAGCTCCTCTGGCCACCTCACCACCGACACTGACCCACTCCTGCCACACACCTCGGTGCCTTGGGCACAACGCTTCCAGAATGACATCCCCACACCTGCACACTCTCTCTGCTGAAAACCTCAACAACCACTCGCACACCTTCACCCCCTGGCCACCTCACCACCAACATGAAATCCCCCACCCTTCTCACACTACACTCACCTGCCCACCCTGCTACCAACTTTTACACCTCCCTCACCCTCTTCTTCTGCACATACTGCCCCCTACCATATCTTCTGCTATCCACTCTTGCACATACTGCCTGCCATCAATCCTCCCACACTTTTAATCCTCCACACATTGTCCATGTATGATCTTTTGCACCCTTCTTTTACTACCTGTACCTGCCAGCACCCCAAACCTATAAAAGAAGAGAAGGCAGCTCACAATCTTTCCTGCAGCCAACTCTTCTTAGCTCCTGTAACTGCACTGTCCCCTACTGCCAGCCCTCAGCTTCCCGTCATCTCCAAAACATACTTGCTATATGTGTGAGACCCTCTTGTGTGAAGGAGGATCCAGATACCTGATAGAAGCCTCAACAACCTCATCTTCCCTTGTTCCTCTCCCCTCTCACACAGACCCCAATGCCCTGGCAACCCCTCCACTGTCATCACCCCCAATACTTTGCACACACCTCGATCCCCTGGATTTTGCCTATTCTGAAACAGCCATACTTTTGCTAGTCTCAATTAATAGAACAAAGTTTGGAGAGAAGAGAAGGATTCTGTGAATGACAATGTTATCTCTACTAAACTGACTAAGCTTTAGAGGAAACTAATTATGAACTGAATAGATTTGCTTTATGATGATGGGTTCCCCCCATTATATAGGACTATACAGTGGTCAAGAGATTCAAGGAAGAGGGCACAGGCAGCAAGAATCCCTCTGTGTCTGGAGGATTGAGCATCACAGAGTGTCCACCCCGCTCCCTGATATCAAAGAGAAGCAACGGCAAGAAGATTCTGGAAGTTACCAACAAGATCATTAAGCTGCTGACAGAAGAGGTGAGCCCTGCTGGGAATTGTGGCAATATTATGCAGCCAATAATGCGCCTGTGTAATTGTGTGCGTCAGGTTCCTACAAGGCATTGAAATATCAGTATTTGTTTTCTCCATTGAGCAGTGGGAATATTTAGAAGAAAACAAAGATATCTACAATGACGTCATGATGGATGAAGATCAATCCCTTAAAGAAACAAAGAAAGAGGAACAAGAGTCCGATGAATCCTCAGGTAAGGACTCAACCGCTGTGTTTGTTCCCTACAAGAAACATTATTAGTGAGCTGCTGATGTGGCCTAGAAATTATTGAAACTGTGCTATAGTCCATTCACATTTAAACTTATATTTTTACACTACCTCCCTGCCAAACTCATTCGGAATTTCACAGTGCCGCTGTTGGTACTTAGAATAGACCTACACTGTTAACAGCACGCACTTCCCCATCCTGTCTTGTATAGTAACACACAGTGAAAGGCAGCCATATAGCTTACCTTTTCCGAAGAAACCATTCGTCTGCTATCCCTGTCGGCAGTCATGTGACCAGTCACATTAGTCACATGATTTTAGCCATAGGGGAAGACCACTGTTCAAGGACAGTAGCCAGCTGACCGGCCCTGCCTGAGTCTCCACCCCTTTAATGGACATCACTGACTATTTGGACTGTATTACGGTGAAGCTTGAACCTGTCACGAGAGAAACAGAGACTGCCATAGGTGACCGCATCTGAAAAACATAGCCAGCAGGTCTGTAGAACTGCCAGACAGCATTTTAGAATAGGAGGTCCGGGATGGCAGCCCCTGTATTTCTCTTAAGAAAGCTGCAAGCTTTGCATTGGATTTACAAATGGCCTCTCCAGAATACACATTATACAGGTAACATCATGTAGTTTTAGCAAGTAGTGGCACATTGTTTACTGACAGTGTTTTATAAGATAGAACAGATTGCTTTTTTGTCTCTTTATGTATTCAACTATTATTATTAAGCTTCGAATTTAGTAAGGAGTGCATCAAAGAACACCCAGCTTTGTCTTGTTTTCTCAGACACGCTCCAACGTTTAAAGTAACCCTCTTGCCGGAGGAAAAGGTGATGAGTGTGGGAGACAGCTATATTGAAGTGTTCCAGATGCCGCTGCTAACTGACTCTTCTGGATGTGTCAAGTTGCATGCCCCCCCCCCCTCGCTCGGGGCG